GCATACTATCAGGCTGGATGGTAGCCGAGTTTTTTTTTAACTCTGCTGATGTTGATACGCCAGGTACACGTCTGCCGTGATAAATATAAGCTTTTGATACTATAAGAAATAAAATATGTAAATGGCAGACATCATCAAATACATTCAAAAAAAATTTTTTTTGCTTTTTAAAATCGTCTGCCACCATGTTAACCGCGCGGTAATCGCCTGCCTTTGGTATTTTCCGATAGTAATAATTATATTTCAAATTTTCGAAACGGCAGCCGTCGTAAAAAGATTCGGAAATGGGCGAAAAAAAGGTTCGGAAATGGGCGAAAAAAAGGTACCTTTACCAGCTGTGCAGTAGCTGGTCAGTCCGTCCTCATCTCATGTAGGATAGGTATAGAGGAATCGATGCACAAAATCTCAGGTTCTCGTAAAATACATACTGTCTTCCGCCCAAGGTCTCTTGGTCTATATTAATTACGAGAAAAATGTGCTATTAAATTCAGCTGTAATCTTCTTTAATTATATATATATGTGCGCATCGAAAACTAAATATGAATAGAATAAAAAAACTTACCGCCTTATCCATTTTCCATCTATATCATAGTGTCCAAAATCAGTAAGCTCACGTTTGCCAGCTATTACCCTAGAACAAAATGAATCATATTTATATATTCAATTAATAACAACATAATATAATTATCTTCATACACTTATAGTTATTAACTTGTTCCATTTATAATTATTAACTAGTACCATTTATAATAGAATATAAAATAGAAAAGTGCATAACAAAATTAAAACATGCACATCGTTAACTATAAATAAGGAAATTCCACGAGCACAATACTAGACAACAGAACATTTTTTATCTAAAGCAAACAAGAACCAATAAAACGAGGCGGAACACTATTTGGAGTGCTTGAAATTATTCGATGGTTCCGAAAGAGATAAAGATGACCAAAGAAGAAAAATTCAAAATTATATTATAAGATATATTATAAAGATAGATAAATAAATTAGACCAAAGTATGAATGTAAAATAAATATACGTATTATTACAATTATAGAATAATGATATAACTAAATATAAATGAACTAAAATAAATAAATAAATAATATAATTTGTAATGACCATATTATATGTATTTTTATTTCATATATTATATATCTATATATATATATATATATATATATATAAATTTATATATACATATAATAATGATATGTATAAAATAATACTATGGTATGATATTTCTGTCAAAAACTGATCTTTCGTTCAAAAATTGATTAATTTGTTACTTTACCTCATTATTTATAACTGTGTAGTATTTTTTTACTAACACTTACTTTTGATATTGTTCGCCCTATAGTGATGTTGAACATGTTGTTTCGATGTCAAGTACAAGATCTCAATGCAACTTTAATCCGTCATCATTCTCTAAAAATAAAGAATTAACTTCCCCTATTCAAACCTAAAAAAAGAGTTTAAAACTTCCCCTACTCAAACTTAAAAAAAGAGTTTTTTTTTTAAGTTTGAATAGGGGAAGTTACTTTCTTCAAGAATAATCACAATTATTTAAATTAATATATACACTGGTATAGCAATCTCAATCAATATATCAATAAGTTGGCAACCATTGCAGACTGATAATATATCAAATGCTACTGAACCGACATGATTTTAAGAATCAAAACGCTTTCATCTATCTTTTATATTTGGCTATATTTGGCTATATTTGTCATTGCCCATTTATACAGTGAAAACCGACAGTTTTCACTAAAAAACCTGTTTTCGAATTCCAAAATTTTCGTGAAAAAAAAACGGTTTTTAAAACCGACAAACCCTAATATGTATGATTCATAACTTGTAATGCGTGTAAGTTGTATGTCATTAATAATTATTGTAAACTATACCTAGTGGACACGCCGCTGGGTGTTGCTAATATCTTCTTGTTTATATTTAATGATAATTATTGTTAGCAATCTCTGCTTAATGTTAATGCCTAGGTAAAATAGATTGCAGAATAAATTAAATTAAAAAAAATAATAATAATTATTGTAAACTAATTTAATACCACTGAAACTTGTTTTCGGATATCCTTTTATTGAATGATTAAACTATGTGGTAGCTTAAATTTAAATTACATACACAATTACATTAATACTTACTTTACGTAATTAATAATTACATTAATAAATATTAGTTTCTATATAATAATATCTATAACAAATTTATAAAAATATGATGTACTGTTCAACAATGAACATTACGCTTACCAAAAATATAAAATTATAATCTTATATATTTTTTATGGTTTTTTATGATATTCTTTTAACAGTTTGTCTTTCACTTCAGCAGAACTATTAGATGAATCTGAGTTTTCTCTTGTTCCTGAGAAAAGCTCTGAAGAATTGGATAATAATTTAATGTTTCTGAAATAAATAAATTTGAATTCAGATGTGAAATGAAAAAATGATCATATATTAGACATTATTATTAATTTCCTTGTCAACAAGCGCATATAGATTCTAGAATGCATAAATAAAATAGTTTTTTTATGTAATAAACTTTCGTGAAAAATTGCTTTCTATTATAGAAATATGATCTCTTATCTAATTGATAGCTATATCTCTGTATATAAAGAACAAAATTGCCCATGCCACTTGCTAATTTCTTAACTTTAAATTTTCTAGAAACATATACCATATCATGTCTTCATTTGTGACTTCGGCATCAGTATGTTATCTAATAGTTATATATGCGCATTTAAAATTGTAATTGGTAGCCATAAAAATGCTTTCATAAAAGCAACCAATTTTACCGAATATATGCACAATTCTGGTAATTTTAGAATAATATAATTATCATAGATTTCATTGTAAATTGAACATCCCATATTATAGATTGGAACCATCGGTATATATTAGTTCACTGAAAATGTGTCTTTCAATTTAAATTATATATTCTTGGTTTAGAATTTATAAAAAATCGATTTCACCATATTTTTAAAGTTTATCTATTTAAAAATTTGTGTACAAAAAGATTTGTCAAAATTGAAATTATTTTTGAAGATATCGCAATTTGAGCACAATAACTATCATCTCTGTTTGCTCTCCTCCCTCTGCAATACTTTAAAAGCGTTTTTTTGAAATTTGACCACGATTTCTCAACTCCTACAAAACTGATTTATTTAAATTTTAGCAGAGTCTTTTCACCACCAAATTCCGGTTTTTACTATTTTTACCGATTTGGAGACCAAAAAAAAGTTCAGACAGTCGCTATTCTGAGATTTTTTTTTTATTTGTCCACAGTTCATACAATGACGACACAATTCTAGATTAATGTCATAATTCTTCAGAGTATTTGAAGGGCCAACATCTATCATTATTTTGAAACCCCCCATATCATCTTTTTATATATTATATTTGGCAATTCTAAATTTTCTTAAAACATGAAATAATAACTTATAATGGAAATTATAATAAAAACTTTTGCCCTTCTTACAGCCTTTCAAAAATCTTCTTCCATCCTCTTGGATTATAATTCACTTCTAGTATTTTCTTATATAATGTTTTATAATGCACATATATTACATTGCGAATTTAATTTTCTCAATTATTTATGAATCTTAATGTCACAATTTAATATATAAACTAGTTCATATTAGTATTTTGCTTTGAGGCAAGTTACATGAACTTCCCGATATGTGTAAATAATCTACTTAATCAATAAAAAAATAAATTAATTTATGAGTAATTAAATGTATTCCTAGTGGATTTATTGCACATAATTGAAAACAATGAACACTTTAACTCGAAGTATTTTCTAAAAGCAAATTTTCAAAAATCAATATTTTTATAATTGAAACAGTTTCCGTGGGCCTTCAATGGTTTAGTATGTTTATTAAATACTCTATCATTATATCAAGTGAATCGCCTAATTTTAATTTTAACAAACGTCAAAAAAACTACTAATTTTCTCAAACTTTGATGAATTTTTAAAATTAAACTACTTGTTGTAAGGCCGTAATATTTCAGTGAGTTCTATAAGAACATGATGTATATCTCCAAAAAAAGTTCCATAAATATGCGCTAAAATAGAAATTTATAATATAATTTTTTCTTCAACAGTTAATTACCAGAAAACAGCTCGGTAGATTTTCACCTAAATCTAATCAGTATCATTCCCAACAAATATCTTTCGAACAGTTTTTGATTTTTTAAAATCGATTCGGTAGTTTGGGCTTAAATGTGGACGAAAAGTCCCTTTTTTTTCAAATTACAAAGAAACGGCTCGGCCGATCGTGGCACAAACTGAGAATTTCTAAATTTCTGAATTCGGTTCAGGAGTTTTTGAGCAAACGTCGATGAATGGTCTAATTTTGACAAATGCCAAAAAACACGATACTAATTTTTGTAAACTTTGAAGAATTTTTAAAGTTAAACGAGTTGTCGTAGGGCCGGACACACACGCGCGCACGCACACACACACACATACTTTTTCCAAATTTAGTCTCATTCGATTCAGAATGGCTTGAAACATCGAGAAAACATAAAATTAGCAAATCAAATTGGACGAAAACAAACTTCTTCTTCGGGAAATTAATAAGATATATAAAAGATGATTTGGATATTATATACTGACCTAGTAGGCGCGAGATCAACACGTGCACCGATTGGCTTATTTGCCATACCCTTGCATGGACCACTCGATGTTGGGCCGATCACGTATCTGTAAACAACATATCATATAGTTATAAAATTTGACTATATATCATTTTTATTTACAACATATTTCCGAATAATTCCTAAAATTTGTGAATTACGTATTGAATTAAACGACATTTTGTAGGCCCATAATAGATGGTAGGCCTATGATAGAGGTTAAGACCATGAACTGTATCTTCTTACAAAATATTTTCAAAATCGTTTGGTATATAAATAGCCCATCCGATCTTTAGCAACACGCAATCAACACTATAACCTTCTCATATGTTTCGAAAGGATTTTAAATTTTGACAATTTTCCACACTTTAATCTGCTAGTTATAAAAAAAACGGTTGAGCTGATCGCCGCGCAAAAACGTGAGTCAACGTGAGTCCTTATCAAATTTTATAAAACTTTTGATCAGTGCAGACGTTTTTCAGAAAACTGGTTTACATACAACCTTTTTCCCCATTTTAAGATCAAATGATACAGAATGACTTATTAAAATGTTCGCAGACAGCAAAGTTTGCAGTGAAGTACCAAAAAAATGATAGTTCTTTTATAAATTGGTTGTGATATCCAAAATTTGTAATATGTATCTTATATATAAAAATGGAGCTCTCGATCAAATGATTCGCTAAAATTCGAAAACGGCTGAACCGATTTGGCCAGTCTTAGTCTTGAAAAATTCGTGCTAATCAGTAGGTTGTCGAAAAGGTGAGATATTATTTCAAAATCGAGTAGAATCTTTACATTTTTAATATGAAAATTTTTGTAGAAGCGTAATTTGAATAAAACAATGGGCGGTGGCTAAAACGTCAAATGTCAAACGTTTTTGACAGATAATATTCAATTACGTTTGATAGGATGTCTTACGCAAATATTATTTAATAATGAATAAATTGAAGTGAATAGTTTTGTTTGTAGTTTTATTTGTGCACAAAAACGTTATTAAACGGGCGGCAAGTGTTACTATAAACTCCAAATATCAACTTTTTTGAAATGTTCATATGAAAATGCACTTTTTGGCATATTTTTCTCAAACACGGTGCTCTGAAAGATGTTATTTATATAATTATATACTCATTGGTATTTATAGAACATTTTCTAGGTTATATTATTTTTTATTTATGTTATTTTATTTCAGAACCTAAATTTGGTATCAATCAAGGAGACATTTTGTCGAATAACATTTTCCCAGTTATAGTTTTCCAGAATTTATCGGAGAATATATAGTAATTTATGAAGGTCCGGGGTTAAAAAGGTCCACCACCGATGTGTCAAAAACCAGCAAAGTTAAGCATTGTTTAACAACAATATTTGGAAGTAGAGGGAGAAGATGTACAACCAGCTATAACCTTGATTCTTATGACTTTGCTCTCGAGAGATAAAGAGTTATCTTTGAAAATCCATAATACTTTTTATTAAATTTACTTTAATTCATCGAATATTACTTAAAACTTTTCAAAAAGCAGGCGAAAAAAGAAATACTTAATTCATTTTCTATCGCAGAAATTTGAAAATGTTGTATAAGCTCAGTAGTATTCTTTACAATTATATATAAAATCCAAAATCCAAAAAGAATCTGAAAAACTTATACACATAAAGTATTAATATTTTTGATTCTCTAGAAATTGTGTAAAATATATACCTTACTTAGCAAAAAAAAAAACGTTTGCCGGGTCAGCTAGTATATATATATATATATATATATATATATATATATATGTTACAAATTTTGGATGTATAAATTATGTATATAGTAGTACCTTGGCTGCTCGATTAATCTGGCAGAATTATTGCTTGTAGCACTTGACTTCTTCAGATTATCATATATATTTGCACTGGAATCCTATAATAAAATTATTTCATTTTTAATTTACATTTTAATAGATCTATAATATTTAATTATATAATTAAAAGAGAAACATATTATCAAGCATTTTTCTAGTTCAACTTAGTTGTCGGTTCCGTTTCGGACATATAATTATGGAAATAATTATTATTTTCACTGCTAACCCTGTGCAATTTCTCTTGTGCTAATTTTTATTTGTCTATTTGATATTAAATACAAGTATACCTGAACATGATGTAATTTCAGCTAATAGTGAAAAAGAAAACAAAATTCATACCAGGATACTGGTCTCAAACCATGTGCTAATGAGCCAGGTTATGCAATCATGCTTAACTTTTTTATGCTCGTCCTTGTGATCTTCTACACATATGATTAGACAATATTCTACATTTTTCACATTTAAATGTTACATTTTCATGTTTTATAATTTTTTTAATTTCTCGGTGTTTTTTACTGTTTCATGTTTCTATGTAATAAAATTGCAGGCGATAATTAGGATTACGTATATTTAAAATAATTGCAGAGTACGTAAGTAACTATTTATAGAATATATTTTATAGAAATATTTTACCTTATCGATTTCCCTTACTCGGGGAACCAGAGGCCCAATTTGTAATGAAGAGTTGATGGTAGCATCTGCCACCGATTCCTCCGATTTTGGAACTTCATTGTTGCCTGCCTGATCAACAGAATCTGAAGCCCTACTATTTCTTCTAAGTGTTGATGATATCCGAGGCGGTGGAGGTGGTGGTGTTCTGTTAAATAAATTAAACTTCATAATTGAAAGTTTTTATAAACTTAGTATATAGGTCAAATTTATATATGTATATATATATATATATATACACATTATATATATATATATATATATATATATATAAATTTTATTAATATTGATTTATATTTGAATAACATACATATTTGACGGAGAGTGATTGCTAATTAGCATTTTATTAATACTAGAATTACGGACCAAGCCAATTTGATTTAATGAAAATTTAATGAATATGTACATATAAATCTATACACATTGGTACATAGAAGTATGGCATTGAAGTACTTGATCAAATAGTAAAAAATGTTTATAATGATTTTTTCGATAAACTTTTTATTTAAATTGTCTTAGACTTATATTTAAAAAAAAAATTACATGAGCCTATTTGGCTAACCTCAGTAAAAATAGATATAATGAACACATGTAAATCTAGTGTTAATATAGATCTGCTATTTAAAAATATATAAAAAAGAAATTACTTTGCAAATTGTAACAGGCGAATATCATGTACAGCTGGAAGTGTGTATCTTTTTGTGACATCCTCTTGTTCTGGATAATCTGGTAAAACCTAAACATTTAAAATGACTTAACAGATTATAATATAAAATAAAGCATGCATAGATATAAAATTCAAAAACATAAATGTAATATGAAAAAATACAGCTTAAAATTTCAATATTTTATAGTAATTTTGTCGTTCTCACATAAAATAGTTAATTGTATTTTATTCACAATAAAGATATATAAATACTGTATTTTCAAAAAGTAATACAACAAGACTCTCGCTAAAAATCTAATTCAATCTCTTTAAGTTTTTTTTCTAGGAGCTTGTTGAAATAAAGAAAAAAAACTTATGATGTATGAACACAATTTTCTGTAATTCTTCTTTGTAAAAGAAGTTATGATAATATCTAATAGCTTTCTCAATAAATGAAGTAATGTCTTTTTAGGAGAATTGTTGATCTTTTTCCTTTATTCCCATATATTATATATAAGATTATTACTACTTATTACTGATCAATATACATTTTCTGAGTATAGTACCATTAGATAATAAACTCATATTTTAATTATACTGTAATTCGATATTTAAAAAGAAAAAAATTGCTAACCATATTTAATTGACATATTTTGCTATAATGAGCAGGTAAAATTACAGAGTTTGAGTTGGTAATAACTTCTTTGTGGTAGGTTTGATAAGAAATTTGAACCACGTTCTGATAAATTACTCATCAATTTAAAAATATAAAAATTATTACATATAAAAAAACTGAACTGACCTTCGGAAAATTTCGTCGTTTTATAGTCTGAAGAGTTTCTTCGGCTGTCGGTGGTGATGAACATTGAAAGTCCACCTCATCACGACTCGTAACATTGATATCAGAAAATGTTTGTAATTTAACTACAGGCTATAATATAATAAAATACATTTAATTTAACTGATATTTAGGACAACATTAATTAACTTTCCAAGGTAATAATTATAATACATTACCGAAAACCATTTAGTTTTTGAAATGAAGTTAATAATAAATAGTTTATTACTACTTCTATATGGAATTAAACTATGTATAAATGTTAAATATTGACGCTTAAGCGATTACACAGTAAAATAGTTAAAATTTGAGAAATCTAATCATATTTTATTTATCTATCGCTAAAAATGTTTTACTTTAAAATTACCCTTTAGTAGTATATAAATTTAATTCGTGGCAAGAATCAATTTACCTGGGGCGGTTCTGGATCCGAAACTGATCGAAAATGTTCTATTTTCACAACAGTTGGTTCGAGATTTATGTCCACATTTTCCACCTGTTAATGAAATTGGAAATATTGTTAATATAACTATTCACATTAATTTGCTGTTTAAATAAATAGTAATATTTAATCTCATTTATAATTTTAAAGTAGAAATATAATAAAAACGCATGAACTACAAATTTTGAACACAGTGCATATGAAATGACTCATTTCAAATATCTTTTTTAGATTTGAGAATTTTGAAAACTATAAAAGCTCACAACATTTCTATATTGCTTAAAATTGAACCATTTCTATATTGCTTAAAATTGAATCAATATTTAAATGTAACAAAATCTATCATAGTTGTCTGTTTCGTTGTACTGTAATTTAAAATACGTATATTTTTTCTATGGAAGTTTTAGTACTAGTATATGTGATAACTTATATTTCTGATTAGAAAATTCTAATATATGTCCCAAAACAATGCATTTACAATAAATAAAAACAATGAATTTAATAAAATATTTCGAAATTACCTTAAGTTGATCTCATGCTCATATTACTATTTTAGGAGCTTTTCTATTTTAAAAAGTCTAAATATTAATAAGGTTGTCAAATATCTTCCTTCCGCCTTTTTGTATTATAAACCAAGAGCAAAAAAGCGGAAGGGAGATATTTGACAACCTAATATATATGTTCTCGGTTATATATCGTATTTATTACATACATTTATAAATAGAATTTCTTCATTAAATGTAAAAAACCTCAATTTTAATTAAATTTTTATTTGACAATTTGAAAGTATTCCAGGTCGGAATTGTTAATATTGATATAACAAATTTGAAATTCAGAAATTCGACAGTATTAGTAATAATTTCAGCAATAATTAAAATATTATGTAATAATTTATTGGTAATAGGTAAAAAAACGAAACAGCAGAAATCATTAAATTAAATCATTAAAAAACACACAGTTTGGATTCCGAAGTTTTCTTTTTCTAAATTGGAGAATTTATTACAAAGAACAATAGTATAAATATTATTAAACATTTTCTCGGTTATATATATCGTATTTTCTGCATTTTGTAATTTAATTATTAAGAATCGGAATTATTAATATTAATATGACTAAGTTAAAATTCAGGAATTCGGCGGTATTAGTCAGTTGATATTTAATAATACGAATAACAATTTTTTAATACTATTGACTATTATTATTTGCTATTAAATATTGGTTATTAATAATTTATTGGTAATACTTTTAAAAATAAAAAAAACAGAAATCATTAAATAATATGAATTAGAGAATAGTATTGTAAAAATGATAAAAGCAAAGTTGTACATTATAATAACTGCTATAAAACTAATGAATTAGTTGATTTTCCAGGTGAATAATCATTTGCATCAAATAATTATTAATTAAAAATTTCAAATCATCAAAAAATTGTGGGAAAAATTTGCATAATACCGGAGTGTTAAATAAACTAAGTACCAATCAAATAGTAAATTTTTACCTGCTCATCGTCAATCTCAGTACTCGGAAAGGAAGAAAATGAGCTATCTTCACTCATTTCGTCAATGATGACATCAGCTCTTGTTTTCTTGGTAAATTCTATGGGTTGTTGTCTCAAAACAACACTATCTCTAGCTGATGGAGTCGCATCTATGGCAACTGACACTTTATTTGGTTTTTCGGTACAAGTTGCTGATACCGGATTGGAAGTCATTGGATTAGGAGCAGTGGTGTTGGCGCACACCTGTAATAGAATTACATAAAATACAAATTTGAAATTTATTTCTGAATAATGTTTATTATAGCACACATTCTAAGCATTGCTCCACCAATCGAAAGTAAAAATTTTATTGCACTTGAGTACGAAACTGATAATCACTCTGTTATTATATATGTAACAATACTTCGTAATAGTTATAAACAAAAGTTTCCATTTTGTGAAGGCAAAAAAGTATTGACCCAGAATTTAAATATAATTGATTTCATATGAATACAATTGAATTTTAATACATTCTATTAAAAATTTTCGAAATATTTTATTTATTTTCCTTTTACTTACAAAATTCACTGGTGCTTTCAATGATCCAGTCAACGCCCCTCGTTTGGCATTCGGTTTTGGCAAATGTGATTGCTGAAAAAATTAAATTTATTAAAAAAACATTGTTCAAAACATTATTATTGTATTTTATTAAATGAATGCAAATGATATGATTAAGCACCCCTATAAATTTTAATTTGTAATAATTTTTAGTTTATCACTGAAAACTGTAAAAAAATGAGGTCAATACTATAACCTTTGTAAGTTTATATTATAAATCGTTAAAAATTCTATACGGTTACGTTTTTTTAAATATAATATAATTTTAGTATGGTGAAAATTTAAACTAGAATTTATTGGTAATTTATTTAACTAAAAGTAAACGGAGCCATAAAGAAATATTTTCAAATGTAACAGTTTAAAAACAGCAAGTACCCGCTAATGGGTGAAAATTTTAACAATTTTCATTGACATATAATCAGTCATATTTAAGTTTCATCATACCAATTTTACAATATATTATACATTTGTTTTATATAATATTTTTTTGCATAATTTGTATTGGATGCTGTTAAATTTATGAAATGTGTTGTTGTGTAGTAAAATTTAATACATGTTAGCTTCGAAGTTTGGAGCTAATTTGAATCAAAAATAAAAATATTATAATTAATTCATAGGATAATATATTAAAATATGTATAATAATGTAATATCAACGTTTGTTATTGCTAAATTACCTATATTTAAGATCACAGAAATATGCATGATTCATACAATGACGTAAGGGCACAAAATAGTGTACTAATAAATATAATTAGTTGTGTGCATGGCATTGTGCCTTAAAGCAAATTTCTGGAACTTCCCGTATCGTAGTTAAAAATATTGGTACAGAACACAAAAAAAATTATACAAAATGTGTACACATTATTAAAATCTCTATAAAATATTTGATAATTTGATGTGCATATGCCCAATAAACATTTTTGAGCATTAAATGACATTTTTTTAAATTATTTTTATTGAGATTCCATAACCGCTAGACCTGACTTCCAAAAAATTTAATCAGTTCTTCATCTTGTCAATACAAGTAAAATGTTATTTGAATTATTAAAATCGGACGCTCCGTTCTCTTAAAAACTGAATTACCTTTTTGGCCCCTGTTGCCCCGTATCTTTGAAACGGCCAAAAACTAATCAGCACCTCTCCTTGATAATAGGAATCGAATGTTTTTTAAATAATTAAAATCGGTTGATCTATTTTCCCAAAATCGTCGACGAAAATTTGTATCCACACACACGCACACATACACACTCACACAAACACATACACACACATACATCCACTTTTTCGAAGGAATGCCAAAATATTCAGAAACCTTTGAAACGTAAAGATATATAAACATTTTCATTTTCGATTTTTTGCGATTACTTTGCCCCACGGGATGTTAATAATATGAGTATAAGTAATAATAACAATATATCTATTTAATCACGATAGATTATAGAATACTTTATATTCTGATAGTTGCCTATAAATAAAAAAAATATAATTCTTAATTACCAATGTTTTAAAATTACCTTAAGTTGTATTATTGGTGTAGGATTGACACTATCCTTCCTTCTTTCTTTAGGACTACATCTATGAACAATTTCTTGTTGTATCCAGTCTCTTACTCGGGAATGTTTCTCAGTTTTTGGTTTTACCTATAGAAAATAAAAAAACAAAAAATGTATATTGAATATTATGGAATATTAGCTACTTAAATATACTACAAAAGCTTATGGAAAAAAAGTTTAGTTAATTTTTTTGCACAGACTTCACACCAATAGTGTATATAATCATATAGTATAAGGCTCTCAAACTTTAATAAATTTTTAAAGTTAAACTACTTGTCGTAAGGCCGTAATATTTCAGTAAGTTCTATAAGACCATGATATATAAAATAAAACATGCAACCGATAATAGCTAATACACTTGTAGAACTATGTTGAATGAAATAAGTGTGACCCTACTGTAAGATGTATAACCGAAAATAAGTCACAATCAGAGAAGATACATCCAACAATTTTTTATAAACACTAAACGTTAACTAAATAGTAATTATAATTTCATTTTTTCAAAAATTAATATATTTAAATTTTTACTAACCGTTGCCGACTGTGATCTTCGACTCGACGAGGATTTGCTAGCACTACTTGAAAAAAATCCATTACCATTGCTTGCTCCATCATTATTACTGCTGTTTCTTGTTAAAAAATTGCGGAAAAATTTACGAGCTTTAGACTCTCCGTTACTCGGTTGACTTGTCGATAAAATGCTTGCGAAACCTACTTCATAATAAAATATCTCGGTTAGTATGATGTAAGACAAAACATACCATTGAGAAAAATTTTGAATTTTAGTAAAATTTTAGTTAATATATTTATTTACCAGTTCTTTGATTATTGCTTCGATTAACTGTGGGATTTCCGTACGAGTTTTCTTCAAGAAAATCGATTGTGGTAGCACGTGGTGGTGATGTGCTGTAAGTTCTGGGAGGCAACTGACCTATAGATAATATTTTTTGGTAATATGTATACTAGTTTTTTTATATTTCTATAGTTCAAAACAGGTTTTCTATAACCAATCTAATTTTATCAAAATTCGATTTACTGAAAAATATTATAGAATAATAGATAAATTGTATTTAACATTTGATTAAATTTATTATTAAAAATATTTCGTTAAACAAAAATTGACCATGTAACAAGAGAAGTAACATGGTGAATAGAATTTTTCATACGCTTAATTTTTAAATTGTGTAATTTACCGCTAGATTGGGAACTTCTTGCTCTTTTGGTTTTGCGATAATAGAACAACGCAATGGCCAATGAATTTATCAACAAAACCGTCAAACCAATTGCTATAATCACGCTTGTAGTCATAGATGCACCTGAAAATATTATTTATTATTTTATACAACCTATTAATATCCTACCAAATTGTATTTTTTATTTTTAAATAATTCTGTATATTTTTATACATAATTTCTTTGCAAGTAAACGCAATATAAATGCATAAACTTATGTAGAATTTCAAAGTAGTAAACAGTAAGTTCATAAATAAATTTTTTAATGAAGTTTTGATTGACAAAAAAATGCCATTTATGAAAAAAATAATTGACATCAATTCTAACTTATTATCATTTTATAATGATAATAATACTATAAATTTTCATAATATTGAAGAATAATTAGATTCGTATGACACAATAATTAATATGTGAATTAATCTGATGCGGTGAAAACATCGTGAGTTTTGCAATTAATTATTTATTGCATGTATTTTTTTTAATATTTTTTTTAAATATAATAGAGATCTCCAAAGCTCCAAACCTTAATCTCCAACTCTTAAATTCTGAAATAAAATTAGATAATTTTGCTGCAATAATAAAAGCTTAATATAATGTAAATTTTAATATTAAGTTTTGAGGTTTTTATATAATTTTAGAAATTATTTAAAAACTGATTATTTAAAAAAATAATATATTGAATACTTTATGTAAATCATACTAAAAGTAAAGCTATATTTTTTAAATAACAGGATTTGTCAAACATACATACACATATGTATATGAATATAATTGTTAAAAAATAATAAATTACTAGGTAAATATTATAATTAGTATTTTCAGTCACTTGTTTTATTTTGATTTCAAATATAATATATATATATATATATATATATATATATATATGTGTATATATATATATATATATGTGTGTGTGTGTATATATATATATATATATATATATATATATATATATAAACAATGTCCTGAATATGGACAATTTCGAATTTCCTTGCTCCCAAGGGCTCAAATGCTTCCAAATTGATTAAAAAAAATCTTCTATAAGTTTTAGCTCTTAATATTGTCTTTTAGATAGTGCGCAATTCAATCTAAGTTTTGTATGGAAATAAAGCATGAAAAAAATTTCAAAAATTTTAAAAATGTTTATATATTTTAACTTATTTATTTTAATTGATTTAACTTATTAAAATTGAATGTATATATTTTAATATTATATATTTATATATTTAAAACAGTATAATAAAACATGTAATACTTTATGACATTCTAGCAAAATAAATAGATATAAAATTAACATTATTTTGAACATTTGTAACATGAAAAATCCGAATCAATTTGGCTTTTGTTTAAGTTTTAAAATAAAATATAGATTTTCTTACCTTGATATCCAACTTCGCTCATATTTTCGTTGCCCTCAAAATCGTTATGATCAATGTGATCATCAATTTCGTCGTCGGATCTGGGAGGTCCATCCATTAATCCTGGTGCTCGACCAGTAAGGACTTTAATGGCGACAAAAGGATCCATGGTAGTCGTCCTCATGGATTGATCATATTCATGGGGATATCTGCGGAATGTACCATAGTCACGAGACGGAGAACCTATTAAAACAAATTAGTAGAAATATTAGGATAATTATCATAGCTTGACCAGTTTTTATTAAATTTTTATTTTATAATTTTATTTGAACAGCGATCAGAACTTATGGGTTCTATGAGCTGTTGTGATTAATATCTTACAAACTACGTTTGTTTTATTACAGATCGCAACCCAAAGAGTTGTCACATCTCTGTATGATAAATCATTATTACAATTTCTGTAATAGGGCGAGTATGGTGCAGCAATGCCGGGTGAGTGCCATTTTCACTTGGAAACATATTGCTATTTATATTTCCAAGTGAAAATCGTTGTCAATGTTGCCTGACAACAGGCTGCTCGAAGTGGGTATCGAACCCGGGACCTCTGAAACAAGTTCCGTCGCTCTTAACCGCTTACCTACGGGCGAGCTCTTTAAATTTATTAACTTCTCGAAGAAAAATTTACCTGGCCTATGATTCATATTCGCATACCCTCGTCCGCCCTCTTGTCTATTATCCCGAGATTCAGGTATCATTCTTCCCAAAGCACCTCCTCCAGGTGTATTTAAGGAAAGTCTGTTTGACCCAAAATCACCGGCCCCGGACGTGTAAGATGTTCCATTTATTAATGCTTCTGGAAGTTCTTGGTTCCAAAATTTTGTGTAATGCACCCGGTATTTATGAGCAATATTAGGAGGTACACCTAAGTTACAAGATTAATTCAACTGATTAAAATGCTGAAATGTTGTGGGACAAGATCAAAGTACTTACTAAGAAATAAATATGATTGATTTTTTGAATTGTATTCAGGCCATTCCAGATCGAATTCTCTCCAATCCAGAGGGCTCATGTGCAAGAACGATGTTTTTCGAGGAGCATTTGGATTTCTGTAATAATAAATTATCAAAGAATTTAGACCAATATTTTATTGGTTAGTTTCCGTTATCAACAAACACAATCACAGATAATAAAAATCATACATTAAAAACAAATAATTATTATTTAATAAAAATAATTTTGGGCAAAATCTCTTAGTCTAAAATTTGATATAAAAGTAAATGGTTTATAATCATATGGACAAATATTTCTGCATAAATGTATACAATTATTTTTTTGGTATTATAATATTTTTGAACTTACCCTGTTTTAACAAAATTAGTAAAAAATGTCATCACAACTTCTGAGAGCAAGGCTTCCTGCGGTAAATAGTCCGTTATAAAAGGTCCTCCTCTATATTCCACAGGAGCACCGAAGAAATAAGCCAGATCTTCACCGTGAACACTTTTTTCCAACTATTGTATATATTTGAACATAACATATTAGAAATTATTATTATAATGCACATAAAAATATGAGGTCAGAAAAGTGCTATATACTACTAACTAATAAATAGATATTATAAAATATTGAACTAATAAGAAAATTAGAAGTAAGAAAAATGCTATATACTTCGAAGTAATAATAAGAAAATTATACATGTAGGTGTTACATTTAGTAACACTCAAGATTTATTACAATACGTAATGTAAGACCTAATCTAATGAAATGATAGATTATCTTACTACTATATATAATACTATTATATTATACTATACTATTATATACGATAGATAATCTAAATATTACCGATCATACTGGAAGATCAATAAATTCCTTACAAATAATCATTACCACTAGGTTATTTCTTGCATATTATTGTATAAGAAATGCAAATGTTATATAGAATTAATTTACAAATTTTTTTTTTCTATAGGAATATTTATCTTAGTATTAAATATCTGGAATATCTACAATATCAATCTTCAATGCGAATGGGCTAAAGTCAAATCATTTGTTAATTTGTCTCCTTGAATTTAAAAATGGGGCGTTCACCCCACGTTGGAAATTACTGGTATAGATTAACCTTAATAAGGAGAACAAAATTGGGTAAAATGTGTTATTGTTACTTCTAAATCCTAATTTTGAGATTTAGAATATTATATTTAAATTAAAAGCTATAGCAGACATTAGTTTTTTAATATAATGCACATGCCTAGGCTTACCTTTAAATAAAATTATGTATGTGCAACATATATAACATTTATATATATATATATATATATATATAATATTTTTAGTATAAAATGTTTAGTATGAAAATAACTCAATGATTCCATATAGTGCCTAAGTGAAAAGAGCAGCTAACAAAAAATATATGAATAGCTTACTCACTGAAATGACGCAACATATAGATATCTATTAATAGTATTTGCATGCTGTATATATGTTTATTAGAACGGGTCACATGTGATTTTCGGATACTGGGGATAAGATACTTTGCTGAAGAAACCATAACTTCAAAATGAATTCTGATGTCCCGTGCATTGACCCAAAGATAGATTTTAAATTTTGAAAAATTCAGTTCTGGCCCATTTAGAGTGCCCCAATCTCGTCGAAATGTATGACCAACCCCCACTAACTTCGAAAGGCCGACCCACCATTCCCATCGTTCAACCCTTCCCCTTAGAGGTCTCCCATACAAAAATTGCAAAAACAACATCGTTTTTGATATTTTACTCTACAAAAAAAACGTTTTTTTTAAAACCATTTTTTTCGGATATTAATTCATACATCCACAAAAAACTTTTCTTAAAATAAATAAAATTTTTTGTTTCAATTTTTCCAATGCATTTTGTCCCTGCGCTTCTGTGCTAGCTAGAGGCTATTATGGCGCCGACATTAGAGAGCCGTGCGAAATTTTCCGGAGTTGAAACCAAAATAAACTTCAAGCAAGAATTTATATGTTTTACATAGTTTTATTCATATGGTATAATTGAATAGATTTTATAAAGAAAAATATATAGCTGATTTTTGTCATATTGAAGTACCAAAAATAATACAATTTTTATATGGGGACTTCTAAGTGAGGTCAGGTTTTTTTACCCATACAAATTAACCCGCCATAATGTATTTGTATGTATGTATGTATGTATGTATGTATGTATTGGTATATATATATATATATATATATATATACCAATATGTCCATTATACTCACATCCGCGTACGGCCCATATTGGCTGTTGTGGGCGAACACGTACATGTAAGATTGGGCATTAACTCGGGAGTGATAGTGACCAGTGAGTACAAGCGGAGCGATCACCCTGGCGTCGCTCAATATGTCCAGTAACACGTCTCGATGGGCAGTGGCCAGAGATCGAAGAGGCGATGCATCGATGTCATGGTTTATAGAAGAATACCTGAAATGAGGTTAAACTGATTTTAGATACTTTAATACAAGTTTATTTTTAATAATTTTATTTGAACAGCGATCAGAACTTATGGGTTCTATGAGCTGTTGTGATTAATATCTTACAAACTACGTTTGTTTCATTACAGATGGCAACCCAAACAGTTGTCACATCTCTGTATGATAAATTTTTATTACAATCCTTGTAATAGGGCAAGTATTGTGCAACAATGCCGGGTGAGGGCTATTTTCACTTGGAAACATATTGCTATCTATATTTCCAAGTGAAAATCGTTGTCAATGTTGCCTGACAACAGGCTGCTCGAAGTGGGCATCGAACCCGGGACCTCTCAAACAAGTCCCGTCGCTCTTAACCGCTTACCTACGGGCGAGCCCTACTTTAATACAAATAAGCCAATTTTTTGAATAGATATCACAAGCAAGATAATAATCTATGTTTTTTTTATTCTTTATTTTATTTACAACTGTCCACTTAAGGACATTGAATAAATTTGAGAAATTTACAATTCTCAGAAGTAAAGGGACATTGTATGCTAAATGGACATGTTGAAAAAATAACTCAATAGTTGTTTTCCCATTCGTTATAATATTAACTATATTTTATTGATGATGATATAATCTTAACTATTTACTCATAAATAATTTCTCATAAATAATGGTATTTCAATCTTTATCAGGAAAATTGATAAATAAAGTGGCGCTTTTCCGTTCATCCTACGTCGATAGTTCTCTTTTATTAATGAGCTTGCTAGTGAATTTGAGTGACTGTTTCTATATTTGGGATGAGCTTTTATGGTAAGCGCGTTCGTGTTCTACAAACAAATTCCAATTCATATTGAAGGTAAAATAGCCATAAAAAGACGTCTCAAAAAAAATGACATATTACTAGATCCGTCTGACAGATGAAAACTTTAGAGTTAAAAATATTCTATTCTTACGAAACAAAAATTTGTTTTTTTGTGTGTGCTTTATTAAATTTTCTTATTGTTAAAATGCTTTTTATTACGTTTGATTAATTTTCAAATATGTATAATACATTTCATTACTGAAAGAATAATTACTCGCGTATTTTACTCATACTTACATCAATTTTTTTCTAAGGTACTATTAAATGCATGGTAAAATCTCGTAACCGTAGATAAATTTGCGTTCTACCCCGAAAATGTTTACGGTTAAAAAAATAATTAAAATTATTTTCAAAATATTAAACATATTTTAATTTTATAATATTGTTCTCTTGTATTGTTGACTAAAAGAAAAACATCATATATTACCGAAATATTTATAAAATGCAAGGAGCTACGAGCAAAGTTGATACAATAATAATATACAATACAGAAAAATACGTCATAACATAATTTTTGCAATATTGATATTGATACGCAGGTATGGCTTAGTCTCAAAATTAGTAAATATGATTTAAAAATTACATTTATTTCTTTTTTTTTAACTTACTCTCTGACAGTGCTGGCAAGTGCTAGGTCCGGACGATATTCAAACCTCGATTGAAAGTAAAACCTCAAAGCAGAATCTTTATCAGCCTCTGCCATACCATGTAAAAGAGCATGTCCACTGAGTAAATGGTACGACTCTTGTTCTGTCACGCCATACAAACACTCGTATCTACAAATAATTATGAATAAATGTATCATCGCTAACCGCAAAATAAATTATTATATTTTCTTCGTATCGTACCTGCTAAATAAATTATTATATTTTCTCATGACTAGATCAGGGTCATTTGGAACAACTTGGCCGTCTACGACCGGGCCGAATGGTGTGGAGTATTTTGGAGCAGATACTCTAATCGCCATAATTTCTGAAAGCCTAGCAAATATTCATTGATTGTTATAATGGTAATTTTAGTAAATGAGTGTTTTTACATTTCATTTAATAATAATTTTCTTTTAATATGTATCTAGTACGTAATAAGAATTTGTCCAGTAGACACTGACCATCAATTTTATTTTTTTAAATTTGTTTAACATTTTATCACATTTATAAACATATAATATGATAAACTTGTTATAAACATATTTCAAATATATACATTTCAAATGAACTTTCATGTCGTTCTATACCTATTAATAATTTTATAGAATATAGATGGTTAACGAGTTACTCAAGACAAACTGTATGAATTGAGAAGCACAACTAGTGTAACCGCTTAAATAAAGGTTTTTTAAGTTTAAATTTTTGGGAATTTATATTAAAAAAACTACTTTATCAATCATTTCAAAATTTTAGGAATATAATCATACATGTTTTAAGAATACATAGCAAAATTTTTTAAGAAAAAAATTAAATATTTTATAAGTTATCGTCGATCTCCAACGGCGCAACAAAAAAAGGCCCTTTACTGCTGCAGTGATTCCGGCCTTCTACGTGAATGAAATTTAAAAAAAAAATCTCGTTAAACTAGATAATATTGTTTGTAAAATAAACTACGATAAAGAAAAAAAATCAAAAATTGACAAAATGACGGCGTTTTTAAAAAAAGTCGAATTTTACCCAAAATTTTGGTCGTTTTTGGACTGCCAACATTCTATTTTTGATCAGATCAAAAAATCGATAGTTCATTTTACGGAGAACTATATAAAGAACATGTGAAAAAAAATTTGATAGTGATTGGATCGTTCGTTTTTGAGTAATCGCTGCAACAAATTCGGAAAATGCTGTTTCGAGAAAAACGCGTTTAAAGATTAAATGATCGTTATACTATGTACTATATATTATATATACTCTTTAAATGGCTGTAACTCAAAAACGATTTAAGATATCGATTTAAAATTTTGGTATGTTATTTTTAAAGGTATAACCTATCGAAATATGGAAAAATTGAAATTTTGATTTTTTGAAAATTTCACACTAGTTGTGCCCCTTAAAATTAAATAATCACTATTGATTGCCATACTCATTTAGAAAAGTAAATTGAATGCCACACCCATTTACAACATTGTATACAAAGTTAGTCTTTTCTTTTTTTTAATAAATACGTACACACATATATATATATATATATATATATATATATATACAGTGGTGTTGTCGAGCCGGAACGCGCCGGCAAGAAAAAATATAAAAACATCGCTACATACAGAAAATGATTTAATAAGTAAATTTTATACGTTATTATTCAACTATTTTTTATTAAATGTTATTATTGTAATAAACATACATATATGTGCACAAAATGGGTTTTGTAATAATTTTTGTTTCTTTCCTTTTTGAACGGAACTGGAAAAAAATAAAAACCGGTTTTAGAACCGGTTTTTAAATTTTAGCGTTCCGGCAAAAAAATATTAGCACAAAACCACTGGTTTTATCAAAGTCGTTTTTAATTCAGTAACAAATTGAGGTGTATGAACTTCTTATAGAAAAAATAATATTTATAAATCAAATCTTACATTCATTCGTATTTCTTATATGCTAACATCTACATCATAGGTTCCTATTCATGTATTTTTATAGCCTTACGTGTGCCTATACGTTGCATTCTATACTACACGCCTTACATCTGTACCATACGCTATATTTCATTATATACTCTCAAATCCCTACATTGTATACCGAATACACCTAACCTATATCTACTATATATCCTATTACCTATAATTTCCCTTACACGCTACATTAACCCTACCGAGATTCGAACCCGGGTCCGCCGCGTGGCACGCGACGACCTTATCCACTACACCACCGTAACGCTACAATCAACCGTCTTTTTTCGCGTGTCGTCGCGCCACCTTAGTATTAATTACCTAATTAATTAGAAAATGACCCGCGGAAACAACAGTGCGTCCCATATTATATTATTAGTGGGGGTACCCGATAGGGTAGTGGTTAAGGTGCGCGACTTCCACGCGGAGGTCCCGGGTTCAATTCCCGGTATAGACAATAGATAGGTAGAGATAATACATAGAGCGTAAGGTAAACCTATATAATATAGGTGAATATATAAATTAGACAGTAGTATTTATAAGAAGTAAAAGGTATGTAGGTATATAATAAGTTAATGACGGTATAGGTATCTCACGGTATGATAGATAATAGATATCTATCTATGATATACAATAATATAGTATAATATGATAGGTAATAGGTTATTTATCATATTATTAATAGAATATATAAATTAGACAGTAGTATTTATAAGAAGTAAAAGATCTGTAGGTATATAATAAGATAATGACGGTATAGGTATCTCACGGTATGATAGATAATAGATGTTTATCGATGATATACAATAATATAATATAGTATGATATATAGGTAATAGGTTATCTATCATACTACTTGGTTAAGTCTTATAAAGTATTGTAATAAATCTTGAGTACTTTTATATCATAATAAATACCTGTAGGTATTAATGAATACAAATAATACCAGAATAAATATGATTAGTGTCATTGAAGATTATAAATTATGTACTCAATGATTCCCTCATACTTGTACAATTTAATGTATAGACTAGCTGTGTATAATAGAGTTAATTATATAAAAAGTCAATATATTAGATTTGTGAGTTCTTATCGAAATATATCAAATTTTTTGAACCGGTTTATGAACCGGATTTTAAATTTTAGGGTTCCGGCAAAAAAAATATTAGCACAACACCACTGTATATATATATATATATATATATATACATGTATATATATATATATATATGAACTATATATAATGTCAATAAAAACCTGAATATATTTTGTAAATACTAAACTCTTCATACTATGTATTGCCGCTATAACATACCTCTTTTTTCTCAAACATGCTACCATTTCCTCGTCTCTTTCACCCAAGGGACAATTTAAACTTTGGGCTACTTGCATTGTGGACTGTAGTGGGTTACTTGCCATTGCCCAATCGGATAATGCTGATCCTGACATAAGAATCGCACGATGAAACAATCCTGAAAACAAGAATAATATATTGGCATAATTATATCAAAATTATCAGATAAACTGCCTATAAAACTCAAGCACATATAACTGAAAGAAGAACCAAGACTAGAAATTGGCTCAGCATTACTGATAATTTTTTGGTGTTGCTTATGACATTAAATTCATACACAGTAAGTGGCGTGAAAATTTTAATGTGATTTAAAATTAATTGGTTTTGGATTAAATAATACCATTTGCAACGGGCGAGACCATCAGAAGGCTTGCACAGGCCGCACCAGTGCCATGACCTGCAACTGTGACAGCACCTCTGTCTCCACCAAATCGTTCAATGTTGTCTTTTATCCATTGCAAAGCCGCTATTTGGTCCAAAAGTGCAAAATTTGATACTGTATGCTCATTAATACCTGGACGCATAAACCCTGAAACATTAAAACATTGATTCAAAAATTGATTAAATTACTATAAGGAATATCAATGATAACGCAGCGCTATAATAAAATTGTTTATGATATTCGAAAAGAAAACAAATTTCTGGTTCAATTATAATAATTCGTGTTTCTGGATATATTATGACTTTGGTGTCAAATTAATCAAATTTCAAGTTCAATAAAGATTTATTACATTGCACATACGCAGCAACACAGCAAACAAAACAAGTATTATAAATTAATATAATTTATCAAATATTTAATGTTTTTTGATTGAGTAAAAAGAATGCAATATTAATTATAAACAAACCCAAAATGCCCAGCCTAAAGTTGACAGTGACGACAACCACTCTCGCATAGGCTGCCAAGACTGATCCATCATATGGATTACCGCTGCCCCATTCATAAGATTCACCATGGATGAAAACTAGTACTGGATACTTATATAATGGGCCTGTGTCTTCTGAAAATCACAAAATTATTAATAGAAGAATATAGTGTATTATTATAAAACATATTGTAATAAAAAAATCATTTCACAACACTTTTTACTGTAAAAATATTTGAGGTATGTTTTTAACATTTTGTTCATAATAAAATTAGTAACAGCTGTTTTTTTATTTATGAACTTTGTTTGATTCTAATTCTAGGAGAATGACTACATAGTTTGCTGAATATTACCTGATTCCTTTTATACATGAAAGGATTCCGAAATTAAAGATCAATTATCGTATAAAATACTTATATATTCAAAGTGTTTTGTTTTTGCTGAGTGATCGAACATTTTTACACAATATTAACTTCTGAAACCTTACCTCTACGTGGCACAAATATCAATAGTTTAACTTCATGTGTATGTTATCAATTTCTTCTCTTCATGATAAGACATGCCTCAAGTTATAGTGAAGTTATATCCTGACATTTGTATCCTTGTAAATTAGGTTTTAGATTTTAATATTGCATATAATGGTAGATCAAACAAGCAAGACATAGCTTTTCAACAGTTTGTGACCAACTCATTGGATTTCTCAACATAAAAGTCTGATAACATAACATAGCTATTTTATCCAAGAATTAGCCTCTAAGTTGGTGTATTGTCAGCATGGTGGTATATGACATCATAACATAAAAATAAATTCTTATATAATTTTTCATAAGAACAGCATTGATAAATAATGAGGTGTTTACAAGTCAAAATCTGTTTGCCATAAGACCTACATGCTACAATATATGTAAGTTCCTTGTATACTACTAAATATGCTTATAAATTTAACTTCTGATTGTATAATATTTATAATTCATAACAGTAAAATAATCATTTATACACTTTACTACTTAACTCCGTAAGTATTTTCAAACGCCTAGAACAAAATATTTTCATTCGAAATATAAATACATTTTTATTACAAACATATGTTGATGGATTTAATCGACAATGTTTAGTATTAACTTTAGTAAATAATAACATCCTTTGACTTGTTTAAAGTGAGCATATATACATAAATTCAAAATCATAACTTTGCATAAATGATTTATTTATCTACGGCTGCAGAAATACTATATGTATATATCTGTTAGGTATATATTGTTTATTCTTATTACAATGTGATATGCATTTTATTACTTCTTTGTTCTATATAATTAATATACTAGTGATAAGTATATATGTGGTCAATCAAATAAATCATATTGAAAATCAATCATAAAAATAATAGAGTAATCATATAATAGTGTAATCATAAAAAATAATAGACTAAATGCAGTAAGTGCATTGAAATTTAGCATGATCATAGATAGATACTTTGGAATATACATGTTTAGATATTCGGAAATATGAACATTTTTCAATATGTGTAAATGCTTTGAAGGTTCTACATTAATTTTGAACAATTTAGAGTACAAACAAAAGGACTGCTACCAAATTTGTTCATATACCAAAATTAGTTAAAACTTATTAAACTAAACCGCAATTAGACCAAAACCAATTATTATGAACGTATTTATTGGTTCGATAAAATAATAATAATAAAACATCATATTGTTTTGGACCATCATTCAAAATAACCAAAAGGACCAGGTTATTTTGTGCAATGTTTCAAATTAATTCATTTCCTAACCCAGTTAACTTTCTGCAAAGTTTATTTTAAATTCACAATGCGTATCAAGAGTTGTCCTAATTAACAAAAATCAATCCTCATCCTTATGTACTTTGGAATGTCAATCAACTTGGTCTAAGTATTTATGAATAAATGAATATTGATGTTCTATTAAAAGGTCCACCATCTCAACGAAATTTTAACTTGGACTATAATGATAATATTAAGTAGTAGCTCAAAGGCAGGTCCATAGTATGAGAGCACAACAAATTACAAATATGCAATTCCATGTTATTCACACCACACTAAGGCTTTATGAATAACTTAGAAAAATATAGAAAAAACACCTTTAAAAATATATAATTGCAGAGATTCTTAGCAGAGCAAGTCAGAATATTACATTAAAATCAAAATTAAATGGTTACATATAGCTCACATCTATGTAATTGTTTAATGACGAGAAAATTAAAATGGTTAATCAGATTTGTAAACGATTAGGAAAAATCTTATATAATGTCAATGTTCAATTTTTTTCCTTAACAATATTAGCATATTTGGTACATGTATGTATAATTATTTCTAAAAGTTGAATTCAAGGTGGCTGATCATAACAATTATATATTGCAATCTCAATAAGATAATTAACTTAGAACCAGCTGTATTATTTGTTTTACTTGTAATAGTTATTACAGGAGAAATCTATAAATATGAACAAAACACATTTGCTCCAATTTTTTATATATTTCCATTGTCTTTAATTTCAAGTCCAACCCTGTCCAATTCGCTTTATTAAAAACTTTTCCCGTGACTCATTTCATTATAAAACAGCGCCGCACGCTCTTTTATTTTATTTAAAATCTCCGTCGAAGTTTATTAGAGACTACAAAACCGAGCAATCAGTTGCACTACTTATTATCGATTCTGAAGACGATGGTAATTCAATTTTTGTTTTAGCATTAAAAAGTTGAAGGAGTTCGTTAAGAGTATATTTTGTAGTACTCAGAAGTTTATGGGAGAAATTCAGGGACAGCATGATATGATAGAGACCTGACAGAATTTAAAGAAGATGTTTGAAAAATTATCACTGTTTGAAAATGAATACCTTAATGTTGTTGTTAAATGTGGTAAAAGGAATAGCGGTTCCTCAAATAAGACAATAGTATATTTAAATAAATCTTGCTGTCTTAAAATTGCACCATCTGGAGGCAGTTGAAGGCGCACTACTGAGTAATATTTTAGAATAAATGTTAAGTATCCACGAATCCTCAAATATAGTAAATGAGATTTTTTGCATAAAGACAGATTGGAATTAATAAAAGAAATAAAACATGGTAGATTTTAAAATTGTGACGAAATAATTTTTTCCTATACCCAACCCAAATTACAACTTTTTGGTTCAAAATTGGTCCAGGAATTTATTAGATATTCTTTGTATCAATTTCTGAAAGTTTCACCATTATAATAATTTATTTAACAGAATCTTGAGTAATGATATCGTTCATTCTGCATTTATAAAAATCATTTTTCCTGGACCAATCGCTGGCTTTTCAGAAACTACCTCCGGCGGCATAAAACAAAATATATATATGTTTTACGATTTGCTTGCATCCTAGCGACTAGCGCCGTGCATAAATTTCTTTATTTGAAACTGGCGGACTCTCGTATATATTGGCAGATAAAAGTTTTAAAATTATTTTTGCAAAATATTACTTTCGTGGTTGCAAGCTTAGCGTTTGGTTTCTATGTGAGCATAGCTGAAGTGAAATGTAACAAATCTATTTTTTTAAAGGACCAATATCAAAATTTTAGTTTATGTTTGTTGTAATTAAAAAAACGTGTGAAGAAGTATAGGCTGAAGAATTAATTGCTATATGAGTATATTGAGAATTATAATTTATAAATTATCTATCGATTGAATGATTTAAATGAGAGTGAAGTGATGTATGTCACATGAGAATGTTATATTAAATTTTATCAAAATTTGCCGCAGAATACAAAAATGTTATTACTAGTACTATAATAATGATATACTGAATTATACAGTTTTTATACAAAATCAATAACCACATAATTATTTTATCAATGATTTTTTTTGTTAATGTTGGAAGTAGTCAATATTTAAAAAAAAATCATTTTTATACGAATAATTCAATATTATACAGTAAATAGGTATATAATAAAATTAATTTTTTTATTTGTTTATCTTTCGTCATATTTAATTTCATGCTTTATAAACTTTGTTCTCAAATTAGATATATGCAAAAATAACTTTTTTAATAATTATTACTATATCATAGTATGCAAAAATAATAACCATATTTTCAAAACTAATTAAATAAAAAACTATACCAAATAATTAAGATAAAAAAAAATCTTATAAGAATATTTAGATAGTTTTATTCGTTATCGTTTTGAAGATGTTATTTTATTGCAAAGTTACGATCGATCATCAGACATCTAAAAAACAAAGTATGTAGCTATAATTATGTATAATATAAAATATGTATAATATGGCAAAAAATTTAAGAAATTTATTATGAAACACATGCAAAAAATATGTAAGGAATATTAAAAATAGTCACGAGAAGTATAGAGCTTAGGAAAAAAAAATTATTTAAAACTAGTAGTGTATGGCAACCTGCCTTAAGGCAAATTACTAGAACTTCCCGTACCGTAACGAAATAATCGAGGAATGTTTTCAAATAGATTTTTATAAATATTGTAATATTGTCTAATATTTATAAGAATTATATAAACTGAATTGCAAAGTTGAAATTATTTGTTTAAAGTATATTAGAACAGAATTAGAATTAAAATCTGAATTATTTTCGATATACAAAAAAATTGAAAAAAAAATTACTAACAAATTATTTTTTTCCAAAAGTAATTATTTTGTTGAAACAAGTAAAAAGTACTTTGAATAATTCAAATCGGACGCTTGGTTCTCTCACAAACTGCCATTATTTGCACATTTAGCTCTGTAGGTACTTTCGAAATGGCTGGACCTGCATTTGCTAAAATCTAATCACCTGTTCTCCCAATAATTACTAATTGAAAGTTTTTAGATCATTAAAATCGGACACTCCGTTCTCTCAAAAACTCAATTTCTATTTTTTGCACTATTTGCTTTTTATCTCCGTAACGCCTGGACCTGCCTTTGCCAAAAACTAATCAACACATCTCCCTATCAATAGGAATCGAATGCTTTTTGAACCATTCAAATCGGTTGAACCGTGCGCCCGAAAACGGGGACGAAAAAACAAACACGCACACATTTCGCATACACATCCATTTTTTCTAGGTATGCCAAAATGTTCAGATAAAAAACAACAATAAATGCACAAGTTTTCGTTTTCTATTTACGGCCCATTAATACAACTACCCTACGGGAAGTTAAAAAATTATATTTATCAATCAAGTATATAATACATATCGGTATAAATTAAAATCGGTTTAGTTTAAAGTTTTAGTTTCCACACTTTTTGATATTTTTTATATTAAATGTAACAGTAGCAAAAATAACTCTTGTCACTAACAATTGCATCTCAAT